ACGCTGAGAGGGTAGGATGAAAGGCAGGCCCCGAGGGCGATGATGTCACCACCCCATGAAGCTTCATTTTCTTCTCCCTTCTTGCCATGGCCTCACCATAGCCTGCGGCTGTGTCTCTTTCGCTGGTCATCCTCTTTTTTTTTTCCCGTTGCAGTAAATTACAGTCTATCATTGTAACATCTACCATTGAATTATTTCCCTCTGTGGCACTTGCTCTTCATGCTTATCCTGGATTCGTTCCTCTCGTGATTCATTCCTTCCCAATTTGTCGATTGAAACAAAATCCTTTAATAACTGTAGTAATTTTTATTTGTTTAGAAAAAAAAAGTAAGAGTAAAAATTCGATATTTCTCTTTCTCACCGAAATAATCCTACACATTACCCATTCAGATCTCCTACCCCCCTAACTTCATCAGACGAGCCGATGAAATGATAATTATTTCATCGTATTTATGTACACAGGACACTCTGATCACTGTTGGAATTACCCTGATTTTCAATGACTTCGGGAACACGAGTTTTCATACTTTGTACTAGCTTGCTAGTACTAGCACGGGGTTCAGGTAACCCTCACGGAAGGTGAGCTTTTATACAAACAGAAGTTTAAGAGTTACTTTGTCTCCCCCCCCCCCCGACGCGTCCAAGACTTCATATCACAAAATGATATGGAGTCGGAAAGACAATGACACTGTTTTCTTCAAATGTCACTAGGGTGTGAAATTCTTTTTCATGTCTTCCAGCGTGTGCGCCAATAAATTTTGGTCTGAAAAGCTCAAAGTCATCAATTGCCTCATTTTGACGACCCCTATCAGTCTACTCCTTCAACGCAGTCGAATGTCGTTTGGACCTGATTTGGTTTCTGTCGTCCTGACATCTCAGTTGGAGTCGAGGTTTGGAACTGGTCGTCGAAATATATTCGAGAAAGACAACAGAACATAAGAGGGGCGCTGCAAAATCTCATGCCAAATGTGTCTCCTTATCCTAATGACATTTTTTTGGTATTGTTCTTCCGGGATTCAACAAGATAAAGTGATTTTTTTTTTTTTTTCTTCATAAACCAAAATGATGCGACGAAACATATAATATTCATAGCATAAGGCCCAAAAAAGGTCACTCCCAGGTCATCCACTCTCGTCAAGGGAAATCAGCAAGTGCTGATTTGCCATGGTTTCAAAGACGTCTAACTGCTAAACAGTGTCTTGCAGAGATGAAATTATAACTGGGCTGTCTAGCCCCTTCCATGTGATTTGTGAATGACTGGTTTCTACAGTTCTGGTTTGGACATTTTAGTCTGGAGGACGGGCCTAGTGAAGGTCGTCCAATTTCAGCAAGTGACAAGACAAATGTGGCTGAAGTGAAGGCCATGATAGCGGAAGACCGAAATATGGCGTGCTATCACAGAAGAGACCCTTGGGACTGGAGTGGCGGCATTGAAAATATTTATTTTTTAAATTTTTGGGGTGCAGAAATGTTGTTCATGTTGGATTCCTCTTCCACTGAGTGCCAAAAATGGTTCCAGTAAATTCCTGCAAAAAATGCTGCAGAAATGCAAAAAAAAGTTTCAAAATATGTGTGGTGGTGGCAAGACCATGCAGGGATGATTTCATCTCTTCAAAACAGTGTTTCACAGTTTGCCGCCTTCAGAAACCATTCCAAATCAGCACTCGCCGATCACTCTGGGTCAAAGTCATATGTACTGAGGGGGTGACCTCTTTTGGACTTACGCTACGCGTCACCATGTTGATAACAATTTTCCAAAAAAATCACTGAATCTTATTGAATCCCAGGAAAGCAATACCAACATATTTATTAGGATCAAGGGATATTTACTGCAATTTGGCTGGAACTTCTGGGGTGCCCCTCGTATAAGCCATTTTCTTCGCTGCCAAGATTTGCCTTCGTGTCTACCGTGAAGCCGAATGAACATGATAACGCCCCGAAAAAGGACATAAGAAAGTGTAATTATCTGCGGTTATCTTACGTATATAAGAGTTGTAAGACATCCAACGCAAATCGGTCTATATCTCATAACTACGTGGCCTTCCCTTTTTTTTTTTTAAAGAGGGAAGGGGGTGGAAGGGAGGCCTCTGAACCTTTTTCAGGGGGACGTCCACTTACGGCCAATAAGGTTCGAGGAAGGTGGAGCTTTCTTCATGCTGCCCATTTTTCGTGTGCGTGAGACAGATCTGCCATCTATTTTTTGAAGGTGCAAGCAAACCATTATAATGGACCTCTATGGCGCCAACTTTTGGCTCAAATATCATGAAAACGCGCCAAATTTTTTAACATCCGCTTGCAAATATGTAGCAGTAGTGACATTCTCCGTGGCTTAACCTTGGGATTTTGGAATCGATCTTGCGTTTTTGAGATACTGAGATCAAGTACTAGTTAGTTCTTGGTGCGGTACTTATAAGTACCATCATTAGAAGCAGATCAATGAGTGGATGACAATGATATAAGGTTCATATGTATGGGACTAAGCGTTTAGGAATCCGAGAGCGTTTTCTTACAGCCAGCATAAATCAAAGGGTACTGCGCCCCCTTAAGGCCCTGTTACACTAGGCGAGTGCTCGCTAGCGACTACTCGCTAGGGCCACTCGCTTAGTGTAACACCCCACTCACTACGAGTTTGAAAGATTTCAAACTTCAGGCGAGTACTCGCTAGCAAGAACCAATCAAAAGGCAACCTCGAGGCAAGATGGACCCCCACTCCTCCCCTGACAGGAGTTGAAAAGGTTAACGCGAAGCGTCTGGTATGAGTTCGGGATGCGTCTATATCAGTTGCCGTTCGACGCCAGTGTCGTTGCTGCCCTCATTGGGGTATGGTACATCATCAGGAAGAGTGGGAGGCACAACGGACGAGTTTGGACGATGCTCTGGCTCTTCACTCTTAGAAAGAAGTGAACGATATTCGAGAAAGGGAGCGAAACTGGAGTTAGCGGTTTTACTCTCTAAAAACGAAGAAGTGCAATCGATAACTACTCAACATCCATATCTTTTTTGAAGAGCGCGAAACGAATGAGGGAGTGTACTTTTCAAGATAGAAAAAGTTAGTGGCTGTTCTGAGGAATGAGAGAGGTGAGTGGCATTACTTCCTTGTTTTTAGGGAGTAAAACCGCTAACTCCAGCTTCGCTCCCTTTCGAGGAAATCGCTCACTCTTTTCTAAGTGAGTTGAAAAGATCTAGGGTGGATTTTTGAACAGAGCATTATCCGATAATGCAGCTTTATTTCGGAGAAAATGCATTATAAATCCGGTAAATAAAGCTGCATTATCGGATAGTTCTCTGTTCAAAAATCCACCCCTACTCTGGTGGCCCACAATTTTTTCCCGCCCCACCTAAAAGAGTCTATTCCCAATCACGTCGCTGGCTTTCTTCAAATGAACGAAACAACCTTCCAGAGACTCTTGGAGAAGGTGGCTCCAAGGATAACAAAGAAGAAAACGGTACTCATAGACCCAACCAGAGGAATTGCTCATTTTATCCCTTCGTTACCTTGCCAGGTGTGAAACTCGTAGGAGATTGGTTATGGCCACTTCATGACTGAAGAGGTTAGGATAAATTAAATATGAAGTGAATGGCTTGTGGATCTTCGGAAAAATCATTCAAACAGGATCGAAGATATCTATTTTGGCTTTCCTTGACCTCCTAAGTGTCATTTTTTTGACAGTTGGCGCCCCATCACATTGTCGACTAGATCCACCATGACTGATGAGAACTTCGACTTTCGGCAGGCAGCCATCATCTTTGTGTATCTCATAATTATCGACATCTGTACACAGATGCTCAAAAACCAAATTCCCCATTCGTGGAATAGATGGCTGGCAGTTTGAAGCGAGTAAATGGCAAGCCCTCGCCAGCGAGTACTCGCTTAATGTAACACCACACTCGCCCACTCGCTGGCGAGTATTCGCCAAGTGTAACAGGGCCTTTAGGTCAGTGCGTATCCGGTCCTGTAACGGCGGATCAAGTAGTAGACATTAATTGTCTAATCAATAAGAACAAGAACTTGTTGATTCGTGTGTCTACCTGTGACGTCACCGTGCCGCAAATCTGAACTCGTTCGAACGAAGAATTCGTCAGCGTCTCATTTCCTTCAACACGTATGGACACTGGAGTTATTGAAGATGCTACCATTTTCTGAAGTTGAGTAGAAAATCACTCATGAGTAAAGAAATTAGAATTTTTTGGATATTGCGTATCTGTGAGAGTGGATGTCTGCCCACGATCAATTGTTCGTTTTCCCTGATGTCATGCGTTCCCAGCTCGGATCCTCATCAATTAAGGAGTGCCCCTCTGCAACCCCGAGACCACACGCCGGTCTCCTCGACGGAAGGACCGACGAGCCCACGGGAGCTCCGCGTGATGCAAGCAACGAGACGGACGTCGTGCATGCAGATGGCGTTGAATGCGAAGCTTTTCAGTGGTTCTGGGCGATTTTAGCGATATAATCCAGATGATGTGTGAAGCTACTTCGAACATCTAAACGTGCAATCAATGACCGTATACATTCCAGCGACCGTCTTTGTCTTCGATGGGCCTTTCGAAAGCCTTCTTGGGTTTCAGTCTGAGTAATGTAGATTATAAAATTGTTTATCCGCGTGTAGAAAGAAAAAGAAAAACCTTCACAAGAGTTAATAGGATAATTATTGAATCTTTATTCATTTATTTTCTTATTGTCCATTCAGGCACTAAGTTCAATACAAATCTTCCTATAACCTTATTGCTGAAAAGCTGTATAGAATGGGGCCATGCGTTAACGATATCTTACTTGTCGCCTATTCTGTTGGAATCACTTAACGAGATTTGAAGCATATTTCGTTTGTTACGTGATTCAAACACCAAAAGAAACTTCTAATCCATCTTAAAATCGTTAGGAAAATTGAAAAGTCTCTGATTTCTGAACTTTTCTCTGACTCCAAACTCTCTGACGTTAACATTTATATTTCAAGAAAGTAGAATACGTTGAGCACGAATTATCCGAGCTCGATTATAATGAAATGGCTCCAGAGCTAAAAAAAAAACTCACTACAGAGAATGTCTTTGAGTGCATTGCCTTCAAAGGATCCCGGTCGGAAAAGAGAGCAGTAGAAAATTTTTTTTAGACGCGATGCGATACGTTTGAAAGCCAAGCAATTAAGTTCGTGCACGAAGTTGGAATGTGAAGTATCATGTGGGATTTGGCCAGAGTAGTCCAACGACTTGGCTCGAAGTAAAAAAAAAAAAAAAAAAAAAAAAAAAAAGAAAAAAAAAAAAAAAAAAANAAAAAAAAAAAAAAAAAAAAAAAAAAAAATGGAAAAAAAAAAAAAAAAAAAAAAAAAAAAAAAAAGAGGGAATAAGAAATATCGAAGCCAATGCAGCGAAGAAAAAAAGAGATGAAAAAAGAAGAATTTGTACATGTAAAATAAGTAGAACAGTCCAATATCGAACATATTTCAGAGGTAGCCTTCACTACAAACTGGAACTATGGAACTAAATTCCAAGATTTTCTAACTAGACGGGGAATGGAAGCCCTGTGGTAAACCTAGTAAGAACGTCATTATGCGTCAGCATTCACACTTCCATTCCGGTCTGTGGCCTCTTCGTTATCGCAATAAACCGAGCCACAATTGATTATTCACCTGCTTTATATTCTGCTTGCTATATAGGATAACCTATTGAATAGGATGAAGCTCAAACTCGTGGAATGCCTTTTTAGTGCCATTGAAGAGCACAATGAACGAAAACCAAGCTGCTCGGGTTGCACAGGGAAGAAGTAGCATCCATGAAGCAAAGAAGAAAAATCAATGAAGAGGTCGGAATCCGACTAGCAGGTTGGTCGGTTGCATCAGGAATAGGAAGCCTCGTAGGTATTCCACCTTTTCCGGGGTGTCTGCTGTTTTCACGATTTCCAGCTCTCTCAGAATGTGGACGAATGCATACCGCATCATCTCCTGCGCGAACCTGCTCGTCCCAGTCATAAACGAGCACGTCAGTCAACGAATAAGGTGAAGGTTAAAAATAACTCTTATCCCACTTTTCAAATCCTCTCGTCGCCAAAGAGTTACGCAACAATTGATTTTCAAAAAGCAAGAGAATAAATTTGAATAATGGAAATGACTTATGAATGCTATAGATTTGGTCTTATAAAGCATTTCATGGGCTTAATTATTCTCCTGGCACTCATTCCTCTTCTATTGCTAGCTTACTTTCATACTGATCATAATTTCGTGTTAAATTCTTATCCTTTTTCATGTTACCGTGATGTCACTTTTTTTGACTAAGCACCATTAAGCAGGTGTATAAAGTTAATGCAGATAAACAAAGTATGACCAGACCTCTGTCCGATGCACATGCGGGGACCGATCCCAAAGGGTAGATAGGCATATGGATCGTGCTTCTTGTTCTCCTCCAGGAATCTTTCCGGTTTCCACACTTCAGGCTCTGGGAATTCTTCTTCTTCCCGATGAAGCGCGTAGGCAGGAATCATTACCAGGGAATCCTTGGGGATGATGATGTTCTTGTAGCTGTGAAAATAAGCAATGCTCGATTGCAGGAAAAGTATTCACCCTATGCCAGGCTATCAACAATTCTTACTTCGTGTCGCTAGTGGTTTCGTTACAGGCATAACATTACCTTCCTGATCATGAGAGAAGGCAATACATTCTATCACACTATCATAAACAACAAACTAAAAGAAAACCTTTAAGCAAATACATTCCAAAAATGCATAAAGGTTTCATCAGATTTATACAACTTTCTTTGCATTTATCCGCCAGGAAAGCAACTTACTGAAAGTCATGCTTAGCGACCCTCTCGAGGCGATTAATTGGAGGATGAAGGCGAAGTGACTCGGCGATGCATGCATCCAAGAGAGGCAACTTGGATAAGGTGTCGTGTCGGATCTCTCCGTCCGTTGCCTTGATAGCATCCAGGATCTCCTCTCTCACCTTGGATTGAATCTCGGGGTGGAGAGCGAGGTAGTAGGAGGTGAAGCTCATGGTGGTCTTCACCGTGTCGAAGCCGGCCAGGAAGAACAACATCAGCTGCACCTCAAGTAGTTTTTGCGTTATTCCCATCCGCTGGTATTCCTTATTATCCTCCAACTGCAGCAGAACCAGAAAAATGTTCAATTCCTATCAAAGGTTTCAGCACCTTTTGCCCATCAATTCTTCGTTGCTATATATATACTTCACATTTACAATTTATCAAATATCTTTTTGGAAAAAAAAAAGTTGCTCGAACATAAATTTCTGCCCCAATATGCGTTTACCAGGGAAGGGCCAAACATTCAGTCGCCAAAATTGGTCAAATAAAATCACTAACAGTCTCTTCTTGTCATACCTCCTTGAGAGCCTGGAGGATGATGTCGAGGAAATCATTCCTCGTTCCGGCATCCGGGTTTTGTTTCCGAGCGTCGATGATCTCCCGGATGACTTTCACGAAGAAGTCACTCGGCTCCGGCGGGAATAAGTCCATATAATGCATTAGCTTCGGAAACGACACTAGGAATGAGAACCCTGACATTGACTTGCTGTCTTCAACACTCCTTAAATCAACTTTTCCCCTGACATTTGACTCACGTGGAAGTAGGACCATTGGGTTGTCGACTTTTTCGTTTGAAAAAATATGAAGAGCATTTTTCACAATTGGGTTGTCGGCATTTTTCAGAGAGGAAATCTCCACGCCAAATCCATACCATGCGATTACGTCCATTCCAAAGCCGCCATAATACCTGCAGTAAAAAATGTTAGGGCATCCTGCGAATGATATATTCTAACAAACATTTCAATTATGAAAAGGATGAATTTAATAGGTTTTAGACAATGTAACTCCTGAATTTTACCTTGAAACAGAGCCATCGACAAACAACCTGAAGCTTAGGTATATCAAAGTGGCCAATTTAGGCAAGAGTCTCATTGAATAAGAACTCCCATCGAATTCTAATTTTTTTTCGATGACAATGCATATAATGCAATGGAGACAATACGGCCATCATTTTGCTACCCGTTGAATCCATTCCATTCTTTAATTTGACCCATGGCGAAGGTGTGACTGAGGAAAAGTCAAAGAACGTTGAGCTACTGACACTCGGAAGTTAATTTTCCCTCAGCAGTTTCCCATAACGGTGATCTAAAAGACCTCTTTCTTCGTCCCAACTGCGTCAAGTTCATGCAGCTGCTGTGGGAATAAATACTAATTGAAAGGAATGATATGTTGTAATGTCGGAGGAGTGGCATTAGACCGAGTTCTTACCCTATTGTTAAGACAAGCTAAACGTCTCCCAGAAGTCCACCAACTTTAGTTCTACTAGTGCAGAGACTGGAAGTCGAATTGACGAACCTGGAAAGCTTAAGTCCTTTCTTGCCGTCAGCCCCATCCCGTTTGAGCACCTCGGTGAGGGTCTTGGCGCATTCCAGGAACATGGGGGCCGTGGTCTTCATTCGACCTCCTGTGAATCCTGGGCCTAGTAATGATCGTATTGCCTTCCATTTCTCACCCTAACAATGAAAGGAAAGATAGTATGCACAGCAGAAAAAGTGAGCGTTGTATAGTTTCTCTCCTCCATTTAATTCGGAAGAGCTAATGAATCCACGAGAGGGAAGAAACACGTGTCATTTAGAGATTAAATTTACAACTTATTAAATTCGTAAAACGTAATATGTCCGTAAAAACTATGAGTAAGCAAGATAATTTAAAAAATTAAACAGGCCAAAACTTCAAGGAATTGAAAAGAAATCCACGAAATCCTTATTTACTATAGGATGAAGTCACCTTCCACAAATATTATATCACATTGTCATATGCACGATAAGACACGTAAGAATCAATTGTCCTCTCTGAACGGATATTGGAAGAAATAAAAGTTAAAATCTGTTTGATTTGATGCCAGAAAAGAGAAAAGAGTACTGACAAAAGAAATTATGTTCCCGATGTTGCCCTGCAGATGAACGAAAAGGAGTCCAATTCCATCCAGCGCATTGTAGACGCAATTGTGTTGAATATGCGAATTGCTCCTCGTGCCCGACTCTCATTCCAAGCGTTAGATCCTTTCCGCTCCGCTATCACTTTCGAGTAAACCAGGAATGCTTTTTCCTCCCTATTGTATTCTTGTCCTCTCTTGGAAGGATTAAACTTTCTCGCGGCATCTTCTTCATGGAAAGATTCGCACTATCTTCTCCTTTTAGAAAAAATTTTCACCCCACCCGGAAAACCAATCGCGGAGACAGTTTGAAGGAAAAGATTCTCAGAAGCGAACATCGGAAAGGCTTAATGGGGATGGAAGGAAACTTCGCCTCGGCAATTGCAATTCGTCGTTGATCCGCTTGAATCTTGTCTCTCACATCTTGCAGGGTCCAGATCAACTCTTTTCTAAAAGTTAAATTCACAGAATGGGATGGAGCTGATCACTTCACTGATCGTATGTTTCATATTTTGCAGATAAAGAATTCTATATTCTCTTAGTTGATGACCCTGTACCATATACAGAGTGGCCCAAAAGTAGGTATATAGTTGATTTATTTAACAGTACTTTACACATGGCATGGAATTATGTGAAAGTTATTCCAATGATTTCCAATAATGTTTCAGCACCCTCTTCCATTGGTCATTAGTCAGGTTACCAGTCATTACCACCTCCCCTAAAGAAAAAAAAAACAATTTAATAGATTCAACATATACAACTGTATACCTACTTTTGGGCCACCCTGTATATTCAGCTGCAGCAGTAGTGATGGACGCTATTTGCTATTTGCCACATCGCTGCCTTTTAAAATCAAGATTGCGAAAATAAGATAAGGGAACGGAAGCAAAAAGCCGTAAATAAAATGAAAATGAGGGCCTTACCTGTAGTTGGTCGAGAGAATTCTGGAAGAGCTCGTGTTTGAGATCGAGATCCCGTCTGTCGACGAAGAAGGAGAACTCCTTGACGGTGACCAGTTTCACCAACTCGGTGTCGGTGGTGAACAGCATAGGCCGACGGCCCTCGTATTCACCCCACGTCCTCCCATAGCGACGGCGGTGCTCCAAGTCCACCAAGTGCAGATGATCTGCTCCAAAAATGAATGTTTCCAACCGAGGGAGTCAGAGATAAAAAAATTCTCCTTTCCATGGGGGACGATCAGGGAGAGGAAGGTTGCGTTTGGTAACATGATTCTCCTCGGTAGAGTTCCGGAAGTAATGCCACTATACGACGCGCTACCCGAGTTCCTTATCACCCGTCTCCATCACCTTTTCATGAGGTTAGGCTTGCCCCAGGCACTTTCCCCGCTTTATCATCACCTGCTGCGTAGTGCGGAGATCCGACCTTCGAGGTCTAAATAAATAAATTGGAGATCAGCCCCAGAGGAAATTATTGTCCAAGTGAGGACTCCACAGGAATCGAAAGTTTTCTACTTCCCCCCCCCCCCCCCCCCTCACTTCCATACTTCAATCTTAGATAGAAGTGTGTCTTGGTAAGTCGACCATTCCATTAAGATTGGTGGCTTTCGTATATTTCAATGTACGGCCTGATTTTATTATCGATTCTTCCTTCACCCGTTTTAATACCCCGTCACTGACCTCTTAAATCTGCGGCACCTCATCACACCTAATCCACGCATGCACAGCCTAACCTTTGTAGACGGTTGGTCGGCTTCCAACAACAAGCCAAGGCTTCACCTCGGGAATCCCCTGCCTCGACCACGTGCCCCACGTCTGAGTGAAATATTTGCACAGGAGGAAGAGGAAGCCGAGGAAGATGAGGCCAGACGTGGGGATCACCACACCTAGGAATTCCATCTCTGCTCACGTAGGAAGCCTATCGAGCTAGAAACTGCGAGCACGACTAGCATGGTTCCTTCTTCCTTCCCTTCGTTTGTCTTCCTCTTCTTTTTTTCAGTCCATAGTAGAGGAGTGCTCTGCGCAATTCTCTTTCCAATTATGCAGACGGTGCTGTTACAAAATCGCATTTTGGATCGTGCTCGTGGATGAGGACCGGGAGACAACGACCTATGCTGCATATTTTTCGGAAATATTTTCTAAAAGTGTGAACTTCCTATGTTTCGAAAAACTCACTAATTAATTCACATCAATCATTTTAAAAAAGTTTACTCATTTACTTAGTCATTCTCAACAGCATTTTCTCATATGCAAAGAATTCAGGTCATCATCCTTCTCAAAGTTTAATACATGAGTTGGGCTCTCAGCGCATGATTGAGCACGTTTACATTCTGAACAACCTTGAATGTCTTGCCCCCCCCCCCCCCCCTCTATTTAACCTTGAGTTCTGCTAACTATAGTAAGATAAGGGAGACAATAATTCCAAAATTTCACGGCAGATGGCGAAAGAGTCCCCTCAAAGTCGAGACCATTCGTAACAAGGGTGCATGAAGCCTAGGGATGATATGAACCACCCGAATAGCAGCAAGGCTATTCCCCCTAATCTTGTGCTTGTGCGTGGATTTCTTTTTTCTGTCACCTGAAATGGCGCGTAACTGTGCATCTATGCATTCCTTGCAAAAAATGCTCCCCAAACGGATTCGGGCGGTTTGAATTCCTCGCACACTCTTTGCGAGGCATGGATTTCCTCTGGGAGAGTCAGTCGTTTGGGATTTCAACATGAAGGTTCATGAAAATTACTAGGTGAGTTCATCGTGCTTCATTCTGAACAACGCGCCGAAGTTTTCACTTCGATCGGCGAAGTGGTCTCAAGCCAGGATTCTTTCGGCATCCCTCCACGCTCTCGGCTTTTGGGCCGTGGGAGCGGTGAACTTCTAGCTCGCATCTCCGAAAACCTCTTTGGGACAGTTGCTGAATCTCTGAGAATGTGGTTCATCGGCATTTGGAGTCGCTGATTTCCAATTGCAGAACGAGGAACTGATTTAGAATTTATTTTTGATCTGAAAAATTCAAGAGGGAAAGAGTAGAAAAGAATTGATTGAGAAAATAAAATTGACACCTGACACTATCAGGTGTCAATTTCGTATGAAAGAATTTATGAAATAAAAACTTTTCGTCCTTCCTCAAATGCTTCGGAATTGTTAAAACTTGACTTCCCTAAATTCAAACATTCATAGTTCAAAGAAGTTGAACACGTTGCCCACGATGAATGAATTCATGTATAAAAGCATGGGAAAACGAGATATTAAAAAAAAAACCGACATGAGGAAAAAAAATTTTCATGGGGTTGAAGGAAAAAAAATGAAAAACTACCATGAAAGCAAAAAAGAGTTATATTGAATATTTATTCATATATTCAGCTCCTTATTGTCCGTTCAGCCTTTCAGGTCACTAAAAAAATTAGTGTTGCCCTATTGTTGAAAAGCACTGGAGAATAGAGACATGTGCAAGGAATCCACATTGACACTTGGTTATCAGGAGTCAATTCTACTTGGATGAATTTATGTAACAGAAACTCCTCATCCATGCTCGCATTCTTTTGAAATGTTAAAGCTTGACTATTTCTAATGTTAAACATTCATAGTTCGGAGAAGAACTATTCATTCCAGCGCGATTATCTTGAAATGGCTTCCCAATTAAAACTCCCATCACAATACGTTTTCGAGCATCTACCTGTATATCCTCAAAATGATACCAGCTAGAAATTAAATGTGTTTCAGAAAACCCCCATGCGATTATAAAGAAAAGCGAGGGAAGGAGATGTTCGGATGGAGAGTATTATTATATTGGATTTGGCCCCAAAGCAGGTTTGCGTCCTCGTCCGTAGACTAAATTACTCGTATAAAGCATGAGAAAACTCAGCCAGATATTGAATCTATTCTACTGTTGCCTCCACTAAGAAATGAGATTAAGTGACATTTGGAACGGATGGACACCATTCCAGGGTTTTGGAACTTCTCGGGGAGTAGAAACCTTATGGAAGACCTCGTAGAGAAATAATGCGTTGGCATTTATACTTCCATTGCGGTCTGTGGCCTCTACGCTATTGCGATACTTTTAGCCAAGGTTCCCGACTCTTCTAAGTTGAGCTTGATGCGTAGGATTTATAGTTTGACAGGATGAGGCTCAAAATCATGAGGGGAATTTTGAGAACACGCGAAAGGAAGATGACCCAAAGAACAGTTCATTCGGTTACACAGGGGAAAAGGAAGCGTTGATGACGGCAGAAGGGAAAATCAATGAAGAGGTCGAAAACCGACAACCAGATTGGTCGGTTGTATTACAAAGAGGAAGCCTTTGAGGTATTCCACCTTTTCCGGGGTGTCTGCCGTTCTCACGATCTCCAGCTCTCTCAGAATGTGGACGAATCCATAGCGGATCATTTCTTGTGCGAACCTGCTCGTCCCAGTCAAATAAAAGCACATTAGCCCACGAACTCAACACCTCAACCACAACTCCTCCAAAAATCACTTTCCTAATCCCCTTTACTCCAAAGAATTTTACAACAAATTGACTTTTAAATGCAAAATATGACATTTCACTGGGTAAATTATCTTGTTTTGGTTCAAGGAATCATTTCATTAGAATTTTGGTTTCATTTCTCTTCTTCCTCCTCGTTATGTATCTCTTCAAACTGATCATTGTTTCTCTTTCAATTTATATTTCTTCTCCATGTGACTCTAATGTCTACGTGCATTTTGCCTATGTGCTTAAAAGGTGTCTAAAGCCAATGCAAATAGACTAGGTTTGAGCAGACCTCTGTCCAATGCACATGCGGGGCCCGACTCCAAAGGGTAGATAGGTATACGGATCGTGCGTCTTGTTCTCCTCTAGGAATCTTTCCGGTTTCCACTCTTCAGGCTCTGGGAATTCTTCTTCTTCCCGATGAAGCGCATAGAGAGGAATCATCACCAGGGAGTCCTTGGGGATGACGATGTTCTTGTAGCTGCGAAAACAAGCGACGCCTGACTGCAGGAAGAGTTTTCATCTGATGCCGACCTTTCGGAGAGAATTCATACTTCGTTTCACTAGTTTTGCTAAAGGCTAAAAACAAACTTCCTGTTCCAATTCCACACCGAACTACAGAAACCTACTAAAGAGTTCGGAATGGTGCCCTATTTAATAAACTACTTTTTAAAACCAATTTTCTCTCATTAATCAAACATATTCACAATTTAATCCAGCATGTAGACAATCCCTGATAAATTCCGCAGCGTAGTACGTTAGTTCACTGGAAAACAAAATCAATTACCCTTCCGCTGCCTATCCAATGAAGGCGTGGAGGAAATCGCTTTCAACCAATTCCTAAAAATAATAATAATAATAATAATAATAATAATAATAATAATAATAATAATAATAATAA